ATTCATCTAAGGGCATTATTGAACTTCTCAGTTCTTTGACCTCCTTTCATTAGATTACATTGTGTGAGTGTGTCCACACACAGACGTGTAGCTGTACATTGGTGCTATGGAGTGACAGGGGCAGCCAGTGTGTTTGCATGACCCTGCCTTTCCAGTGAAGCTCACTGGTGCACTTGGTTACAAAGAGACTTACTCATAAGAAAAAATGCAGTGGGTGATCTGAGCCTCCATGGCCCATTAAAACAACAAGAGAGAAAGCTACTCAACAGCCCTGTCAGGTTCCTCCACCTAAACTAACTCAAGTCGATCATGTAAAAGGGGTAAAAAAAAAAGAAAAGAAAAAAAGAGAAAAGGTGATGGTATATTTGAGAGACTATTTTGCAATTAACAACTAAGCATTAACAGAAGCCAACAGCAATAAAACATTTATAGCTCATCTCATTTCCAGAGATCTCTAATGTCCTTTCCATTCAGTTGTTTTCCTCTCTTAGAGATAAAGAGTATCTCTGGAGCACATAATCAGGACAGAGGAAATACTATCAGTCACCGGGCTGTTCCTTTCTCTATTGCTCTCTAGAGAACATGCAAAGGATTCTCAAGCTGCCATCATTCATGTTGTGGAGAACTCAGCCGGAACATCCAGAACAGAGGGTGAAAAGATGTATGTGTACGTCAAGGGAAGCACTCTGTGAATCGACAAAACATGCACCGAAAGCAGTCATCCTTGTAAAACATTTGCCTTGCAGTTTACGGCATGTAATTCCTCCGTGTACACCAAATGTATGCAATATGCTTCAGATAATGGCTAAAATAGTTGAGACATTTGGTATTTTGCATCAGGAGATAGCATTCAAATATAGAGTTCCTGTAGAAACACTTTGTGGTTTTCAGATATTACTCTGCACTGTGTTCGCCTACCTGGGAGCACTTCATTTTGACCACACACCCACAACTCATTTCCAGAGTGGCCCAATATTCCAGATAAGCTGTTTCTCAAGGCTGATTTGGGGGTTGTATAGAAGGCCCACGGGGTGCCTATTGTTCACGGCTTTCACAGGAAGTTGGTTAAATCTCAAGACTATGATGTTGGATTCTGTTCCCAATTGCTAGCAGGGTTATATTATGTGATTTCAGATTTACTGTATATGCTTACATTACAAGCAGTGTTGCTATTGTTAACTTAAACTATTAAAAATCGGTTTCAGTAATTGAAATAAAGCTGTAAATATTAGATGAAAATCCTTGGCAACTATAACGGAAATAAATACACCGTGTTCCAAATTATGCAAGTGACATATCAGTGGTATTTTAGTAAACATTCAGATTTGAGTTTTTCAAAGAAAGTGTTGTTTTTTTGGTTTTATTTCTCATATCTTTTTTAATAACTGGTATCAATCTCAGACAGGTTTGTTAAGTAGTTTGCCAGGTCTTATTTTGTAAATCCCTTAATAAGCCTTTATCTGACCAGGTTCTTCTGTGCACTCACAAATCTTTTGACAATCACTCACTTTAAAAAAAATCTCTAAGTTTTTGCAAAATATAATTTGTTATGCATTTTACAAGACATTGCACTATTTCATGCTTTTTATCTTCAGAAAGGCATGAGAACTGTGACTTGCTTAATAATGTGGAACAACCTCTTTTCCATTTACATAAGACCTGGCAAACAACTTAAACCTGTCTGAGATTGAGATTGATATAGTTGCCACAGATTTTCATCTAATATTTACAGCTTTATTTATTTTATTTCAGCTTTATTTCAATTACTGAAACCGATTTTTAATAGTTTAAGTTTAAGTTAACAATAACTGCACTGGCTGTAATGTAAGCATATGAAATCACATAATCACATAAGATAAAAAATATATAAAAAAATAAATGAGAAATAAAGCAAACAAACAAACACTTTCTTTGAAAAACTAAAATCTGAATGTTTATTGTACTAAAATCGTACTGATATGTCACTTGCATCATAATTTGGAACATAATTAAGTCAAAGTACTAAAATTACTAAAAATAAAATAAATAAAATCTACATGAAAATATATATAAAAAGTAATAAAAATGCACATAACAAAATTACTAAAACTAAAATTAAATATAAAAATAAAATCTAATTAAAATATATATTTTAAAATACTCCAATAAATAGTACAAAATTAACACTGATTACAACAAAGACATTAGCAGTTATATAATTTTACAGTTAGGGTTAGGTAGGTACTTATTTTGAATAAGTAATTACTTGATGACTGCGAAAAAAAAGTATGTATATGTAGTTTAATAATAATTCGTTAATAATTCGTTACATTTATATAGCGTTTTTCTGGGTACTCAAAGCGCTTTACATAGAGGGAGGAATCTCCTCAACCACCACCATGTGCAGCATCCACCTGGATGATGTGACGGCAGCCATTTTGTGCCAGAACGCCCACCACACACCAGCTTATTGGTGGAGAGGAGACAGTGATGAAGCCAATCAGTACATGGGGACGATTAAGAGGCCATGATTGACAGAGGCCAAAGCGCAAATTCGGCCAGGATGCCAAGGTTACACTTACACCCCTACTCTTATTCAAAGGACATCCTGGGATTTTTAATGACCACAGAGAGTCAGGACCTCGTTTTAACGTCTCATCCGAAGGAAGGGAAGTTTGAATGTATGTAGTATGAATGTAATCCGGACATACAGTACATTCGCCATGTTGTCATTATCATGTGAACTAAAGCGCCAGTTACGTCGCTTCACTGTTATTCATAAATGTAATGAATGGCAGGGGCCTCTCCCATGGCCTCGTGGGATAGTAAAGTGTCCATCGTATGCACACTTCAGAATCTTGCCGGAAGTTACTCTTTTACGAGTACTGTGATTTCAGACATACTTCTTTTGTCACATACTGTTTTTCGCCTACGTGGATTATCTGCCCTGGGTGGACCTATTGCCTATTTTGTGACACTGATAACTAAAACCATAATCATTTGCTGTTTATTTAGATGATTATGAGAGATTATGTGTCATTTTTACAATCACGTTGAGTAGAACAATCAGTTCCCAATTAGAGAATTTCAAAACATTCACAGTTCAAACTTCTTTGTGTTCAAATCGAATTAAAAAAGAAATGTCATCACATATACAATGAAACAATGAAAGGGTAAATATATTTTTAGATTTCTAGATTTTCTGTCACCTTCCTTATTTAAAATTTTATAAACTTCCTATCACAAAAAGGCAGTGATGAATGATGTAATCTTTATAGAGATTGTCTGTAAACAATGATATGCATAAATATTCCTAGAGGAATTGTGGGTCAACTTTGATATAGTTATCTAAGGATGCTGTTCACATGATGCATGACACCAGCAGCTGTGTGGGACCAGGGACAGGAAATGAGTTGACCCTCTCCCTGGGAGTTCAGTCCCCCTGTGGCTCCAGCCTCTCTCAACAGTCATCACAGGCTTCAGGGACACAAGCAGCACAGCACATCAACATGCTGGCTGCTGAGGGGGGTGTTTTTCCACAATCATTTACGCTTCAAACATTCATCTGTGAAGTTAGCATGCTTCTTTGCAATGATTGCAACTCTGTTTCCCATACATGATTTGTCAGAATGATTTAGGCTATTCATCCACACTTCAGAGAGTGAATATATATATTCTGAGTCTGAATGTTTTATTCAATCTTATTAATGGGTTATGTAAAGCCTTCTGTGACTTCAGTGGATGTGATTCATCACGTTAGTATATGTGGGTCAACTTTCTGTAGCCTCAGACTCGAGAGTTGTTTGTGTTCTAGAGCAGTGATTCAAAAAAACACATCTCCATATGGAAGAGAGATCCGTTCAACCTCCACAGTCCACAGAAAAATCCACCCTCACACTCCCCCTTTCTACGCCCACATGCTATGACAGCTAGACGTGCCCACGTGTACCTCCCTATTGCAGCCTGTGCATGTGGAGAGTATTAAAGAAACATTCGCGGTTTGGATGTGAGCAGTGTTGCCAGATCTTGCTAGAAATATAAGAGACGTGGTCTGACTAAACAATTGCAAAATAAGCGTCTTGCCTCACCAAAAGTGACCCTTTAGTTTTTGCATTTGACCCCTTTTCCTCACATTTCTTAATATAATTGATCTGCTTTATGTGAAGAACTGCATCTTTCTGGAAATAAATGTTTATGACACAGTTACATCCTTTTACAAACGTCACTAAAAAGTTTCACAGTTTCATCGATGACTATCTCTCACGAGTAAAGAGTCAATCAATTCTGAAGAATTGATCTGCAGAAAAATCTTTAAATTCATTCTTTAATGGTTATTCATCATGACAGTTCATTTGAATCATATGCTTAAAAATTAACAAAAATGAACTATGTCAGCAAAGAGTTGGAAATAGGAGAGCTGAGCTCTTTCTCTTGCTCATTTTAACACAACCCGACATTATAGAGAGAAACATCTGAAATTGCACACTGAATAATGACCAAGCGGTCATTTTGTGTTGCAATTGTATTCTGGAAATGATCCCCCAAAAAAGGCAACCCTACTGCCCATATTTGGGCTTTATTAAATAAACGAGCTCAAAGTCGATTATAATAAATGGACATGGTAACTCTGGATTTGAGCCACCACAACATGCAACAGAATGTGAATATTAATGCTAGCCTATCTCAAAGACTATTTGGCATTTATATTATTATCATGCGAGACTGAAATGTGTTTTTATAATAATGTTTCAAATACAGGGAATCTTTCTAAGTATTAAATAATTTAGTACATATCTGAACCAGAGGTGTTGCATGTCACAAGGTCGCACTAAACGGCCCCTTTAAGGCTGGGCGGTGCCTACGGTCTGACGTAATCAGTCCTTCCTTATAAATAATTTCCAGCTCGCAGCTTTCCATGATGAAAGCGATAAGTTGTTGAGCGGCAGCATCTTCTACTACACGTGTGTTTTGTTTAATAATAATAAATTGTGGTGAATGTTTTACAAAGATACGCTTGGATTACTAACAGCACTCGTTTAGTTATACTGGACATAAGAGAGCAATTTATAAACACAACCCTACGAAACATTTAACCGGTAAGTAGCTTTAAGTATTTTTAAGTTCTTATGTTTTTTTACACGTTTCAGAGAAATATGTCAAACTATTAGGTGCAATTCACAACTCCTTATAGGCTAATAGTTGTTCTTTGGACCGGGATATGAGATGAGTCGCACCTGAGTCAGAAAGGGTTTGTCAGTGGGTGTGTTGAAACCGATGTAGAAAACTGTCCATATATCAGAAGGATCTATTCGCACTGCAATTTCGTACTTTACAAGTGGCCCTGCGTCACTCATAGAACTGTTTATAAGACAACAACAACCAGTTGAGTACGATCTGTCCCGTGTAGTAGTAAACTGATTTATCATTTACTACAGATGTCTGAACTCTTGCACGTCTTGTGTAGTAATTCATCTCCTGTTCGCGAGTGCGCCTGACAACCTCGTGCTCCAGATGATCCTGCTTTTCTGTAGGCTGGCCTGCCTATATAATTTCTGTTCGTATCTTTATTCCCGCTCTAGGCGTTCATCTTTGTTGCTTATAGCCTGCCATGTAGCAGGCCTACTCATTTGGAGGGGTTTGGGATCTCTAGACTAGTTAATAATTACTGAGGAGGTAGTGTTGTCTTATAGGCGTTAATGATATATTATTGCATATTATTACATAATTAAGAGAAATAATTAATTAAGGTGAGGTAAGGTGATGTATCAAAATAAGTGAATGGAAAAAATGTGTCTGTACAAACACCACAAAAATAAATGTCTATGTGCAAACACCATTCAGGATGGAAGAATCAGCATGAATATAGTAGTCATTCAGTAGTAAAAAAAATATATATATAATAATAATAATACAAATTATATATATATATATATATATATATATATATATATATATATATATATATATATATATATATATATATATATATTTATTTTTTTATTATTAAAGCAAAGTTGTGCAAGGAAAAGTAAATACAGACTTTGTTTGGGCAGCAAAACATGAATTTATCTCCTCAGGAAAAACTACTTCTGTCCAAATAGAATCTTCTAGTGAAAGCTATATTTTTGTGTCCTTCTGTAGTGTTACTTTTTAAGATGTAATTTGCACCACTGTACTATTTGGCATGTTGATGGTGTTCCTCTGAGTAGTGGATCAGTGCGTCCTCTGGCTCCTCTCCCAGGTCCTGCTGGTGACGTCCTCACACCTCTCTCATGCCTTGATGGCAGGGCTTTAACCTCACGGATAAGAGCTGCCTGATGTTGAAAATGCACAGGCACTCACCCCAACGCAAACGCACAAAGAACCATTTATGCTTTAGCGTCGCATCTGCATTGAGGTCTTTACTAGGAGAATTGACGATTGTTAGTTTCTGCCTTTCACGTTTCTGACTGAGGCAAAGCAGAGGCAGAGCATGTGATAAGTTGCATAATGTAGCCTGCATGGGTATTTCATTGATTACATTCTGACTTGTGCCCAAGCATTCCAGCACATTTCTCACTGAATGGTTTTGTTTTCTAGCACAGATGCTTTATTGTGTTTTGGTGTAATGTCTTAAGGAACTGTTGCATCACCGCAGCTTCATAGCTGAGCCGTTTGTTGGAAAAATGGAAAAACTGCATATTCATCTAAAGGCACATGTGGCTTTTACAAGACAATGCTTTTTTTTCAAGAATTTTTTTTCTGTAATGATTTTGTCCTGTTTAAATGGGTGATTTAGATTTGACATTAATTGCTTCAAGTGGAGGTTCTTTTTGTCCGCACAAATGATTACTTGCAAAGGCTTGAAGAGTGATAGTTCCTTATTGCTATAAGGCAGTATAAATAACACCTTTTCCTTAAATGTATACATGCATATGTGTGTATTTATATATATATATATATATACACTGTACAAAATAGTTATACACAGTACACACACATATTATGTAAACACAAACTTTTATTTTGGATGCGATTAATTGCGATTTATCGTTGCCCAGCATTCATTTTTATGTAGGCTATTTTTAAATCTCTTATGGTCACCAAGGCTGCATTTGTTTAAAGCTGCAGTCCGTAGCTTTTTTGGGGTTAAAAATGATCCAAAATACATATTTGAGAAAATGCATAACCAGCCAGTGTTCAAAACTATCTGCTTGCCTTAGCTCGATTCAAAACGGTAAGCTTGTAATAATGTTTTTAACTCCAGTGGTACTGGTGGATTTCCACGGGAGATTCGAGCATGTCTGTGTCATTACGTCACATATGTACACATAAAGAAGGAGTCTCGGCTATATTGCGAGTGAGGATGTTGGAGTTGGAGATTTATAGCCTTTTCTCACAGCACTTGATATAATTAAACTTATCAATTTGATGGCGGATCCAGAAAGGTTCAAACGACAATCACCAGTGACAACAGATTCACCCGCTGTAAAATGCAAAAGACTTCGTTCGGACTTCGGAGTGGCTACAGAAAAAAAAAAGACTACAACCGGACCCATGCGAAAACAAGGATAATATCGGAGATGCACCGATTCCAATTTTCTAGGCCGATCCCGATTCCGATTTTTCCTCGAGTTTGACCTGCCGATACCGATTTAGCCGATTCCGATTTAATTTTTTCAAACCACTTTACAGCACACACAAATATTTATTTTCTATCTTCTCTTTAATAGAACATTTTGCATAGAACATTTTTTTGAACAGATAACCGCTATAAAATAGAACTATATAAATTACTCCTGGTGTGGGAAATTCACACACATCTAAAGTGCAGTGTTATGGAAGAACCATTTCCTTTTCACATCCAATATCCAACTAAAACAATTAGATTTTTAGCAAACTAAACTTCTGTATGAAAACAGGTAATGACAATAAAATAATATATAAATAACAAATAAAAATAAAATAAATATTGCCTTGCAGTATAAAAATATTTCTCTCTCACACACACACACACACAGGCCTATTGCAATCACTTGTACATCAATGGTAAGTTATATTTCTCACACAGTTCTTCTCTCATCTGACACATGTCCAGCCAAGCTAAACAGGACAAGTGGGGCATGTGCAGGGAAACGATTGGGAAATAATAAAAACAAGTTTAAATGGGTAAATTTTCTATAAATATTTTTGTCTCTTCATTTTCTTTCTGACATAGCCTAGCCTACTTCAGTTCTTGTTAAAACACACCAGACATGCAAATTCTGTGCATTTTGGGCACTTTTTGGATGAAATCATTTATTTTGTCCATCAAAAGTGAGCTTTCACTTAAATTGAGCGCAGCAAAAATGAACTAGATCGGCGCTGAAACCCGCGCTGTTGCTCACGCGACGCTCCTGCTCACGCGCTTCTCCGGCTCCCGGTGTGAATGCACTCATTGATTAACATGCACGCCAAACAAAAATAAAACGCGCTGCCCGCTTGCGGTGTGAAACGGCCGTAATTCATGAGGTTTCGTGTGCACGTGTAATGCTGATGTTGCGCGATGTTAATCATGCGGCGCCCGAGTGCATTTGACCGGCATAAAATCGGATTATGTCAGACTGACCGGCCGGTCGCCATGGCCGATCACGTGAAAACCGGCCGATTCCGGTCACCAGCAGATCAATCGGTGCATCCGAAGGACATTACATGTAGTCACGCAATCCTGACGTTGTTAACATTAACAATTTGAGAACAAAGTAGAATTTGCTCGGTTTTGTGTGATATGCGATTTTTAGATTTAATCAGCGTAATTTACTGCAATGTCAGAACCAGAACAAAAGTGGATGTTACTTACTTGTTCAGATGACATTTTCCAGTGAAAATTATTATGTTGTCATACTTCCAAAAAGAATAATCTGTGATTGTGAATGCCAGTATCCACACCGCGCGGTGATTGACAGCTGCACACTCTTCTCAAACATTGTGTTCATCCGCGCTGTGTCGTGTCGAAGTACAACTTGCGTAATGTTGATAATTCCGCGAATGACTGCAATTGCAGATTTCGAACAGAGATGGCGACAAAGAGGAAAAACTGCGGACTGCAGCTTTAATTAAAAACAATTACAATTTAAAATAATTGTTTATTTTAAAATATAATAATTTATTCCTGTGATGGCAAAGCTGAATTTTCAAGCAGCCATTACCTGTCTTCAGTGTCACATTATCTTTCGGAAATAATTTTAATATGCTGATTTGGTGCTCATAAATCTTTTTCTTCTCCATTTATTTATTTATTTATTTATTGTCGATGTTGAAAACAGTTGTCCTGCTTAATATTTTTGTAGAAACTGATCCATTTTTTCAGAACTCTTTAATAGAACGTTCAAAAGAACAAATATTTGAAATAGAAATCTTTTGTAAATTATAAATGTCTTCACTGCCACCTTTGATTAATTTAGTGCAATCCTACTTACTCCAATCTTTTGAACAGTACTATATATTATACATCTTAAATTTAGTGCAATCCTACTTACTCCAATCTTTTGAACAGTACTATATATTATACATCTTAAATTTTATAGGAGGGACAATAAAACGTGTAACTAACTTTTAGTTTGTAATGGTCATTTTATGTCTGTGTCTTTCTTTCTCACCAAAAACCTGTTGCATTAAAAATAATCATTTTAAGATGACTAAAAAAAGTGGCCTAATAACCCCCCTCCCCCCATGCAGGTTTTCCCATTGCTGCTGGAAGAGTGGAGCGCAAAAGTCCTGTCTTGATTACCCATGGCTGGATTATGAGTTCTGCAGGATCAAGAATAGTGGAGACCCCCACAGGCCTGAACTAGCCTCCACTCTCCGAAACATTATGGCCACAGCCCAACCATACTGGGATCAACACCATGACCATGACACCATGGATAAGTGAGTGTGAAAGCAGTCCTCACCTCAACTAACTTGTGTATTATGAGAGACCTTCTTCTCTAGTCACCAGATTTTGACACTTTCAATTTTTGTGTTTTGCAGGCTGTTTTTTGGATTTGGTTCCGAGTCCATGGATCACAGCTTGAGAATGTATCAGCAAAACTCTGCAAACGTGGGCTTTGAAAGTGAGTGAGTAGTGATATTGAATTTTATCAGCTATATCACAGTCTGGTCACCCTCTGTTCTTGGAGCATGATGCGGATGTTTCTCAGGAAGTGCAGAAGGTTATAGGAAGTTGTACGAAAGTCTGATAAGTGAATCCTTTGATAAGCTCCCTGTGTTGAGGCTGGAGATAGATCCATCTCAAGAGATAGAGCCATTGAAAAATAACAACTTAAATGATGTTTATGACACCATTGAGCATGTATGTCATATGGTAGTTGATCTGAGCTTAAATCCTCATTTTCTTTTCTGTATTTTTACTTCATAGGAAGGACGTCTGGCTCCAGTTCTCCTCCGTGTTTGTCTCCCAAGACTCCAAATCCTACACAGCTGCTGTTTCCCTTCCAGTGCCACCCACCAGAGGAAGACCAGGTGGTTCCGTCCTTACAAAAACTGTCTGTTTATGAGCACATACCCCCTTGTTCGCCCAGGAGAACAACTAAGCCCCTCCCGCCCCTCCCGGACATAGGCGACCTGTCATCTGATGAAGCAGAAGACAATGAAGTGGAGTTTTTCTCCAGCACCTCTGAGAGCCAGTGTCTGGTGCCTAAAACCTCAACCTTCCAGTACGGCTTGCCGGGGAGGCGCAGTTTTCGGCGAAACGGTCAGGTAAACTTTGCGTATTGCGAAGGGCTACAAGAACATCAGAAACTTTGCGGGGTGAAGCCTCAGTGGGAGCAGGCGGTAAGGCAGAACCAAGACAGACACCAACGCCGGCTACATCGGTCCCATTCCGGCCCTGCCGGATCCTTCAAGGCCACCAACTTCAGGCCAACCAGCATTCACCATTCTCCCCACAGCCTCCCACAGGAGAAACCCGAAGTCCCACCTCGCGTTCCAATCCGCGCTCGCCTCAGCGAGAGCACGGACTGCAGGCAGCCATCATCCGATGACTTTGATATGGACAAACCCCCTAAAGTTCCACCCAGGGAGCCCATCCCTCAGGTCATACCACGTGCCATTAGTCCAAAAAGTCTCCCGATTTACATCAACGGGGTAATGCCTCCTACTCAGAGCTTTGCGCCCTATCCGGAGTATGTCAGTAAGGCTCAACACAAGCAGAGCTGTGAGGGCTTGCCGGCTCCTCGCAGCCCCTGTATTCTGCCCATCATGGAAGATGGGAAGAAAGTCAGCAGCACACATTACTTCCTCCTCCCTCGTCGACCCGGGTACTTGGACAAGTTTGAGAGGTTTTTTAAAGAGCCGGACTCGTAGTGATTATTAGGGATTGAGCGGTTAGAATCTGAAATTATTGCCTTGTTTAAAGTGGAAATAAGGACGACCGGATATAAACTGATATGTTGTTTGATTGAACTGATTCTTCAGTGTTCTGAATTACTGGTCTGTTTAGGGGTTGGACAGTATGTCCTCGGACTACACGCAGAGAAAAACAATTGCAAAGCAACTCTGTTAAAAGTGTCCTTTTACTGTAGTAAAGAGATGACTTGTCAACACAAGAGATTTAAGGTCACTTGCCATAAAAGCTAGATGGTTTAAATTTTATCTGAAAAATTGCAATTAGGGTTTTCCCCCAAAACGTGCTGCCCTATGTATTGGTGTCAATGTTTTTTGTTTGTTTTTAAACTCTATTTCCTTACAGTATGTTAAATTAGAATGTACAGTATCCTTTTATGAAGAAATGGGATGAACTGTGTAACCTGAGTATAAGCTGGTCTTATGATTTTTTTTTTCTTTCTTTCCGTTCTCTAATATGGTTTGGTAAAGGTGCATGTTGGTTTTCCTTTTAAGAAATTATGCACCAAGAGTATAAATTCAGATATTGCTGAAAAATTACAACTGACTAGTATTAGCTATAGGGATCACCTGAATTCCAGATAATTAAAAGAACGGTCAACATTTATTGGATCATTTTAAAAGCCAAGACAAGGACTATGCCATGTGTTTTACAGCAATGAGAAGTGTGGTGATCAAAACAAGTAGTGATAAATGGAAGGGACTGGACACAGGGGTTAGTATTCTAGTCTTCGTGAGAAGATTAATCCATACGTTTTTTTTTCCATTGCTTGCTTTTTTTCATTCAGATGTGAGACAAATGAATCCTTTTGATTTTAATTTTTAAAGAGTTGGCACATGCAGTTTCATTTATCTGTTACAAGGGTAGAAATGCCACTGCCTTGCCATTTGGTGTCAAAATGCAGGACACTGGTTGTAAGTGGGTAGTTGGTGAATGGTATTTTGCGGTATTTTTGTACCATTTATCATGAAGTTGCTTCATTGAAGCATTTTTCACAAAGGAAAATTATGAAAGGAAGAAATGGAAGCTCATGACTGGTCCTGGCCTTGTATTTCATGCATTTCTCACCAAAAGTTGAGCACACTTGTTGGTTTTTGGTTAAACTTGTTATAATCTTGACATTTTTCAGACCAGTAACTGTTTACGTTTTTAGCTACCGGTACTTATGTTTAGTCCATCCAACAAAATGACTGTTTTCTGTGAGAAAGCTAATGTTAACTGACTTTGTTTCATCTGCTGAGGAAACATGCACTTCTAAAATGTACAGTATTGGTGTAGTTTTTCACACCAGACTATTTAAATAAAGTAACTTATTTGTACACAGATTTCTTGAATCATTTCAATTGCAGTGTGTTGAATTTATCATACCTTTGGTTTTTACATTCAAATTTACAAATCACAGCAAACCTTGTTTTTATCAAAAGACTGAACCCAGATTTTCTCTCTCTCTCTCTCTCTCTCTGTCTCTGTCTCTCTCTCTGTGTGTGTGTGTGAAATCAGTGAATGATACAGGTATTTCTTTCTGTTCAAGTCTGGTGCCTACATCCTATCGGTATGAAGGATATGTTGAGAGGTGATATCCGTTTCCTTGTGATTGCTGTGTCTTTCTGTTGTTTGCTCAAAGCTGTAATGAGACGGGTAAACTTTTGGAACTTCAGCCTGACCCTGACATCAAGCCAAAATTGAATAAATATTGATTTTCCATCTGAAACATCATTGTGGTTGATATTGATATTCAATGCAAAATAAATGTTGATTCACCATTATCATATCGATGAAACCTGACGTTATTAATGTTGATGGCAACAACATTGGATTGGAACAACATTGATGTAGTTACTGTATCTTAATGATTGAGATATTTAATATAAGCATTGATATTTGGTTTACCGGGCGATTGCCAATGTGTTGAAAAATCATTGATTTATAGTTGACCGGGAAACGACCAGTTGTTGAAAAGTCATCATATAGTCACTTCCTTTAAAATACAATCGCACCAATGTGCTAAATGTTACAGTGAAGTGGAAGATTTCTAATGTAAGCTGCCCTCAGTGAGTCACCGCTGTCGTCTAGGGTTTGTGGCAACCAAAATTAGTGTCATTTCCCTTATGTTATTGTCAGATGTGTGTGACCACATAATTACCAAATGATTCAAATATTGTCTAAGCACATGGATTTTTATCTAGCAGTCACCGCCTTCGTTTAAGTAGAACTAAAACTGAATATGAATATAAAGCTAACGTGCCATAGCAAATTGCGCCATCTAAAGCTCATCAGCAATATTGGTTTGAATTCTGGGGAGCAACAGTCTATCAGCGCCATCTCTTGTCCTAACGTGATATGTGCAGAAAAATGGGCTTCCTTAAAGGGGTTAAAGTGGGCCGGAACTGCGTTCATGTGTTGTGCCGAATTTCGACCCCCGCCAAATTATTACCGCCCTAGCATTGGTTTAGGATTAGTTGTGGGGGAGGGGTTAGGATTAAGGGCGGGGTTGGGATTAGGCAATCAGGTAGGCCTACTGACTTCAACGAGGGGCAGGGGGTCGAAATTAGGCACAACACCTGCACCTCAAATAAATTAATAATTAAATAGATTAATTCATCTCAACGAATCTCGCTGGTCCAGAGATGGGACCGACCTACCAACCTTGTTCCTCCCCTCCCCGCTGAACGCAAGCGATTACAAAATGCGTGGAATGCACTCACGCTGGTTGAGCGCGGTAAAATTAATTTTAGGTTCGATATTCGCCGGATATTTGTTTTCCCTTGCCACTGTTTTGTATAGGGTCGGCAGTCTGACAAAGATATCAATAGCAGGATTAGTTTTAACATTATGTAAAAATTGTATATCGACCTTAAATATTAGTTCAAATTCAAAATCACCAACTTGCGTTAATGGTCCATATTTATACCTGAGAATGCTTTGACGCGTTTCCACAGTGCTTGATGCTGGGGAACGTCTGCCAATTCCACCAACTACGGTAAACGTAACCTATAATTTGTATTATTTAAAAATACTTTAAACTTTTTAAAACAAACGTTTTCAAATTCCAAAGCTCGTTTTCAAATTCCAAAGCTTGTAGATGGTTCCTTATTGACAATAGGCCTACTGACCTGGGGCCTGTACCATGAAGCCGGTTTAGGTGGCTAGCCAGCTATGTTTCAGCTTAGTTTCCGCCAACCCTGGGTTTTAGGTACTATGAAAGTAGCTCGGCTTTAATCGGTGTTCGTTGCCATGGTACCTTACGCTGCACGGCTAACCTGCTCCGGGGCAGGTTAAGTTCTGGATTCGAGATCTCAGACTGAAGTTTGACCAATCAGCTGTGAGCAAAGAAACATATAGGTGACGTAACTAATTCCCAGTGTTTGTTGCAATGGCTTTACATTTTCTTTCAAATCCTGTGGACATCTCAGCGCAAATTGTTAGACGAGCTAGCACATCGTAGAGAAAGAGTTTTTAGCCGGACAAAATCCCCTTGCCTTTCCTGATAGTGTATGAAAGATACAGATTTTCTGCGGAAGGAATATCTTATCTTTGCGAACTTCTTGAGCCGCACAAAAATAATTTAACACATCGAATTCATGCACTTACTGTACCATAAATGGTATTGCGTTGCGTTTTTTTGCAAGTGGTAGCCTACATACTTGCACGATCGGTGATGCACAGAATCTAGGGGAAAACACGGTTTGTCGAACCATTCGCAAGGTGGTCCTCGCTTTGCAGGAGTACATTAATAGTTTAATAGTGTTCCCCAGACATTTATTGACCATGTCATGAGAGAGGGTTTTTATAAAATTGCCGGTAAAATATATTGATAGGGTGACATCACGTTTTTTTTTCTTTCAAAAAGCAAATTTCACAAATGTACTATATAATACAGTACATGTTAAGCATTATTTTAATCTCATGATAGGATCAACACAGTCTCATGAAAGTGCGTATCTATACCACGAATGTCATTTCTCGTGCCATTTATACGCCAAAAATGTTTTTTGCGTGCATATGCTACGCACTGAAAACCCCTTGGGTAGGTTTAGGGGGGAGGGGGGTGGGGAGTGCGTGCGTATTACACGCCATAAAGTGCGTATCATATGCACGCGAAAACGGCGTATCATATAGACGCAAAAAACATTTTTGGTGTATAAATGGCACGAGAAATGACATTCGTGGTATAGATACGCACTTTCATGAGATCGGGCTCGATAGGATTCCCTATAGAGTCATTGGAGCAATAGCCTGCACACATGTTGCAATCTCCACTTCTCTAGGAGAACATGAGGCAGATTATGTTAATAGAAAGTCTTTTCACAGCCTTAATGTTCAGGTAGAGATTATGTGAAATTATTATTTTCTGTGAGATGAATCTTTAAATTAATAGTAAAATTAACAGATAACAATCTACTTTCCGTGTCAGCGCTTTGAGGAAAGCTAGCAGGAGAGCAAAACCTACACAATAACCCCCTATCATGACCCTCATGTGTCAGTAAAACTATAGTAAAAGTTAGAGATGATCTTTGGCATCCTAAAGGCACGTTTCAACTGTCTTCGGTGCTTAAGAGTCACCACAGTGGGCATCACAGATAGTGTCTGCATGTGGCATTCTGCACAATATAGCCACCATAGAAAGGAGCCAGAACCAGGGCCGGATTAAGAGTTCAGAGGCCCCTGGGCACAATGTCTTGTAGGGCCCCCCTTAGGCAAGCCAAATGTATATTTTGTCCAAGGACATTTTAATATTGCATTTACAGTTTTACTGACTTAAAAGGAACTTTGTTGTACTATGCTAGATTAAAGTTCATAAATGGTCGTTCTTAAAGTTCATAAATGGTCGTGCCTCAAACAAGTGTTAATAAAAAAATAATAAAAGGTTGTGTGTAAATACTTACTAGGCTACTTTGAATTATATTTTTATATTTTGTCTTTATCAGCAGCCAAGAACGTTTGGAGTTGCATCTAAAAATCAATGAATATTAAGCTTTATCAGCATGGGGGTGAGTAATTAATGACTTAATTTTCATTTTTGGGTGAACTAACCCTTTAAATTTGCGACTCGAGTCTGACTCGAGTCAAGTCATGTGACTCGAGTCCCCCATCTCTGCTGCACACTGAGTGGCCACTCCCCCTCCACACTGCACACTG